AGCAGCTAAGAGCTTTAACCATTGCACCACCAGGGCTCCTTATGACAAACCTAGAGGCACAAAGCCCTTTCCAGTAAAGAGAAGTACAAACATTCACAACTCCTTACCAACTTTTCTATAAATTTAATTTTAATCATTTTTCAAATATTGAAATTACGATTGAACTAAACAATTTAATTTTAGCTCACAACAAGAGCATGGATCAGCAATTTAAAAAACTGTACAATTAAGATCAAATTTCTTTTTGAGTAACTGGAAAACAAGTAAGATGCCAATTTCTATTGTATCAGTTATCAACAGCAAACAATTAGCATGATGTTCTTTAAGTATGTAGAACTTATATTTTGTACAAGGAGCTCTAGTAGCGTAGTGGTTATGAGTCAGGCTGCTAACCACAAGGTCAGCAGTTCGAAACTACCAGGTGTTCTGCAGGAGAAAGATGAAGCTTTCTGCTCCCATAAAGATTTACAGCCTCGGAAATGGTATACAGGGTTGCTATGAGTCGGAAATGACTCCACGGCACATAACCACCACATTTTGTTCAGGTGTAGCACTGTAGGATAAGCACTGGACTGTTAACCACAAGATTGGCAGTTTAAACCCACCAGCCACTCCTTGGAAACCCTATAAAGGGTCTCTATGATTTGGAAGTGTCTCGACAGCACTTAACAACACCATGCTTTATACTGTTCTCTGAATACTTCAGACATGTATAAAAGTAAATAACTTATTCTGAATTTGGTACTTTTGTTTCTGCTTATCTTCTACATCAGACTGTGAGTTCCTTGTGAGCATACAGAATGTCTTATACGCTATTGTTGTTAAGTGCCGTCAAGTGAGTCCCAACTCATAGTCACCCTGTATGGGGATTCTGAGGAGCAGCTGGTGGATTTGAACTGTTGCTTGTGGTTCGAGGTCTAGTACTGATTCTACAGCACAATACCAGGAGTCCCCAATATGTATAGTCCCCAAAAGTACCGAAGTTAAAGGTTGAGAAATAACAGATCCTCCACAATTGCTGACCAATGAATTCAACCAATGTTTCCATACAATTTCCTAATGAGATATACAGTCTTAGAAAATCTTAATGGATTCCTTAGAAAAGGGTGATAAATACAAATCCTCACCTTCCCACTGAAGAGTTGCTGAAAAACAAACGTCTTTAGTGTTTTAAATATCTTTTGATACATTTTCTTTCATGGAATGGAAATGCATAGTCATTGATTGGAAAACCCAATTCCATGCCAACCACCAATGCTACATTTGAATGGAAAGTCTAAAAGCACTGAAAAACTTACAAGAAGATTCTAAGAGCCAAATATTTAAGGGGCATCAGCTCTTCACTAGATAAATATCTGGAGAAGATATCCTAGAAACATAGCCTTGAGTGAGATCCTAGAATTTAAAAATGCACACCACGTAGAAACGAGAAGTTTCTTACTGTTTGATCTTGTCTTGTGTGTCATGTAAGCCATCATAGTCGTAGTCAAAAATTGGTCCACTTATCACATTAACGCCATTTCTTTCCAAAGCATATTTCTTCACCAATACTCTTTGGAAATAATTCCAGACTCCTGTACCAAGATAAAATTAATTATTCATGATGAGAAATCCTCTCTGTTCTGCAAGCAAATATCACAAGCCAAGAGACAGTGGAAATGCTGTAATTCAAGGGGTAATCCAAACTGAAATATTATCTCTGTGAGTGTCATGTATGAACCAGCAAAGAGGAAGCTATGGAGCTATGAGATAATGGTGGTTATTGTGCGCTGTCAAGTCGGTTCCGACTCATAGCTACCCTGTATAAAGTTTCCAAGGAGCAGTTGGTGGGTTTGAACTGCCGACCTCGTGGTTAGCATTCCAATGCTGATCCTACAGCACCACAGCCAGACTCCTGAGATAATGGTTGGAGAGCTTAACCCCGTTCCAAAAGTCAAGGAAGGATTCCCAGATCCAATGACTATGGAGCCTAGAGCTGAAGGATAAGTAAGTGGGCATTTCCAGGCAGAACCATGGAGACAGAACATTCCAGTACAGTGAACAACACATTTCTGCACAAGCTAAAGGACAGAGCTTCTGAGAAGTTGTAGAAAAGGTCTTGATCTATCAGTTTATGATCTCATACACTGCGCTAGTTCCCAAATGTATGTCTCTAGCCCTGACCATGCCACGTGGTTCCTAAGACGTTATCCACTCTTTTCCTAATCCATCTGAATACCACTAACCTACTGCATCGCGTCACCTCTGACTCATACCCACCCTATAGGATAGACTAGCACTTAACAACAATAACAAATATCCTTACAGGAGAGTTCTGGTGTGGCACTGGGATAATGCACCAGACTGCAAAGCCATTTGAACTGCAAGGTTAGTGATTCAAGCTCCCCAGCTGCTCCTCGGAAACCCTATACATGGTCACGATGGGTCGGAACCGACTCGATGGCACTTAACAACAACATATTTTTACAAATGGTACCATAGTGGTTATTAGTCGGGCTGCTAACCTCAAGGACAGCAGTTTGAAACCACCAGCTGTTCCACAAGAGAAAGAGAAGGGTTTCCGCTCTGGTAAAGATTTATAGCACACCACCACTACCACCACCACCATATCCTTACAGGAGCTGGCAACTTCATTTTCTATCCCAGAATGGTTAGTGGATTCAAACCTTGTGGTTAGCAGCTCAACATTTAATCCACTATGCCATCAGGGTTCTCAGGTAGAACATCTACTAGCCATGTCAAACAGAAATAATTTCCACATTGAAACTTTGATTTTCTAATCCTTCTCAATTTTAGGTGTCTTTCTTAGAGTTAGCAGCGCTGGTGTTCAACCAAATGTTCAAGCTGAAACTTAGCAGTTATCCCTGATTCCTCTCCTTACTTCAAACCCATGTGAACAAGGCTTGTGCTACCTCCAAAATACGTTGCAATCATCCCAAATCTGCTCACTTCTCAGCATTTCCACTACTTCCACCTGCTGTAAGTTACCATCTTCTCTTCATTCAACTACAAAATTAAAAAGTCTATTTTAAGGGCTTCTTGTGAGAAATTCTTATGTCCATTTTCATAACCAGATTGGACCTTTTACACTATAAATCAGACCATATCACCCATTTCTAACATCATGGGAGATTTCTCATTGAATTAGAATGAAATGCTAAATCCCAGCTGTGGCCCCAGACTACCTCTATGACAATACTTCCTTCCTTCCACTTTGCATCACTCCAGCTCCACAACTTACTTCATACCCCTCAAGCTTGCACACTGGTTCCAGCCTATACTTTTCCATTCACTTCCATTTGCATACAAAGCTTATTCCCTGGCCTATGCATGTCTGTTTACTCCCCATTACTCCTTTCCCAGTTTAAATGTCAACCCTTACAGAGGACTTCTTGTTCACTAGTCCACCATGCTCCAATAAAGAATCCAACCCATCAGAGGAAATGAGAGTAGCAGAATGTGAGGAAAGGAAGAAGAAATGCAGATGAAGGTAATAATAGAAGATATCAGGAAAGCAAACAATGAGTTGATACTGAAGTGTCAGAGTCAACTCACCATGTTCTGTTCTATAGGCGGGTCATGAGTGCTTGGTGGTGGTTATGCACCCTTGAGTCAATTCTGACTTATAGTGACCCTGTATAGGATTTCCGAGATGGTAAATCTTTATGGGAACAGAAAGCCTCATCTTTCTTCCATGGAACAGATAATAGTTTTGAAATGCTGACTGTGAGGTTAGCAACCTAACCCATAACCACTACGCTACTAGAGCCTCTTGATGTCACATCTTACCTGTCTCTTACTAGAAAGTACTCGGCCATTTTTCTCACAGCACTTCGATGGCTCTTTATACCTTCAGATGTTCTACTCTGAATGAGAATGGCAGAGCAGCCCACCAGAGCCAAAACATCTTAGATAACTATTCACAGTAAAGTAAGAAGGCTAATAGAAGAGAAGTTCAAATGGTAACTTCAGCATTGAAAAAACAACAACAAACAAACAACCAAGCATCAGTGAGACAAAGAAATAACAATGATAACAGTCAATGTGGCATGTGAAGAAAGCATTCCCCCCCAGCGAAGAACAAGCAGCTGCTTGTGAAAGGACTTAAGCCACGCCTCCCTCAGGGCGGTGCCAGGTGTTTCTTTTATTACTCCTTGGTCCAAAGCACAGCAATAAAGAATAAAGAAATCCAGTAAATCCTGATTTGTAGATATTAAATGCAGCAGCATCCCATATAGTATTGTGATAAGTATATTCATCCACCTGGGTTTTTGAAATGTTTCTCATTTTGGTCTATGAGCACATCAGGAAACCTCCCTTTAAAAGCATCATTTAATTCTTCACTCATAAGCAATGAAGTCTACCATTGAATAAAGCTTCATTTATTAACTGAGACATCAAATAAACTTTGCGGGTCATTTCACCAATGTGAAGCTAAGGAGGTCTGCCAATACAGGTGACACTCCGCAATCATTCATCTCTATTTTAAGATTTTATTTCAGCCCCAGGAGTCCTATAACAGCCCAGCCTTCTTTTCTGAGTGGAATTGGGTTAAGATTCTCCCTTTTCCTATATTTCTCATAATCATATGGGTCTGCTAACTGCAAGTAAACTAAAAAGCGATACATTACTCTTTAATGCTTTCTACCTTTGAATACACGGGAGGATAAATGGATGGCTGGTTGGTTGAATGGATGGTGAGGGGGCGTACCATGGAGTAGGTCCCGACTCACAGCGACCCTGTACAGGGTTTCTGAGGCTGTAAATCTTTATGGGAGCAGAAAGCCTCATCTTTTTGCCACAGAACCACTGGTAGTTTCAAACTGCTGACCGTGAGGTTAGAAGCCCAACTCACAACCACTACACTGCCAGAGCTCCTTGATTGGATGGATGGATGGATGGATGGATGGATGGATGGATGGATGGATGGATAGGGATAAATACATTATTTGTTGTAAGAATTTTAAAAGCAGATTGCTTTAGCCATTTGAAAATTAAGTCTTAAATCCTGATAAGCCCAACCCATTGTGGTCGAGTTGATTCTGACAGAGTAGAACCCAACAGGGCAGAGTGAAACCGTTCCAAGACTATAAATCTTTATAGAAGCAGACAGTTTCATCTTTCTTCAAAAGAGCAACTGGTGGGTTCAAACCACCGAACTTTAGACTAGCAGCCCAGCATTTAACCCACTGTCTCACCAGGGCTCTTTTTCATGGTTGCTAAGTGTCACTGAGTTGGTTCTGACTCATAGCAACCCTGTATAGGGTTTCTAGGCCTTTCAATCTATATGGGAACCAAAAGCCTCATCTTCCTCCACAGAGCAGTTGGCAGGCTCAAAAGGTGGACCTTGTGGTTCACAGTCCAGTGTTCATTGTATAAAGCCACTGTGCTTCCTTGTAAGCCTTGTTGCTGTTAAGTGCTGTTGAGTCAATTCCAGTCCATAGCAGCCCTACATAGGGTTTTCAAGAACTTGAACTGCTGACCTTGTGGTTCACAATTCATTGCTGATCCTACTAGTAATCCTTTGAGGTCCTGAAATCAAACATCTTAATTTTACAAATGAAAAGGTTAACTGTCATTTCTATGATCACAGTCCAGAGACATTGTACGGTATGCCTACACCGTTCATAGCATCACTATCATGCACAGAAATTTATGTCAGATATAAGGAAACAATAAATGTTCAAAGACACTAACACAATTATTTGCAGTCTTAAAACAACCTGAAATGAACACTCCGATCCTTTAGGCTTCTGAGGATTATCATGGTCAACATTAAGAATACATCATCACCCCAAAAGAAAGAAGTGTTGATAGTCTTTATTGTAACATTCAATGCATATATTTGGAAACGGTTAAATGTAAGTTGACATCCAAAGTAGAGATGACTCTTTAACCATCAACATAACGAGCCTAGAACACCAGATTAGAAGGAACTGGCAAACTTGGTTTAGTTCAGCTTCTACCATATATGACCTGGGTCACCTTTTGGAACTTCATTTTCTTAATTATAAATAAAGGATGAACTACCTGTGCTGCCTCCCACACAAGCTAATATTTTGGATCAGCTATAAAAAAAATTTACATGAAAGGTCTTCAAAAAATTGTAAAGACCAAATGCATGAAAGACATTATTATTAGTTAAATTAATATAGAGGTAGAAAAGTGGCAAGTTTAGTCATATTTATTTCCCTAAGTCACAGTTTATTAGGTAAATATTGGACTTACGTTTGAAAGCTGGATACATCGGAACCATATTGGTTACCAGGAACGCATCGTATTTAGCTTCTGGTGAAGAGCTCAGATCTAAATATTTGGAAAACAAATAGTGCCTATTACTTGCCAAAATTTACATCAGTAAACAAGCATTCATCTGCAATGATCCAAAAAGAATGAAGTGAATGGGGCTCTTCTTTTATTCCCTCCTTTAGACAGCATTTTCTACTTTCCCTCCCCTCTCATCCTCTTTCCTTCACTCAATAGCTCTCTCAAGCAAATTGTTTCCATGTGGGTGTTTTTCACTCCCTTCTTAGTTCTGGATCACTTCACTATGGCATAAATGAAGCTTTGGCTCCATTAGAGAACTTTAGACTTCTGAAAAGTCCTCTAAGTAATGAGAGAAAATTAAAGGGCTTCACCTGAGTGATCACTGCTCTAATACTACTGAAAAGACTAATGTCATCATGATTTACTATTTCATTTTCAAATTCTCATTTAATGATGGGAGAAGGACACAGAGTAGTCTTCAGTCACACTGTAGAATTCCATTGGAGAAAAGGATTTTTGAAAGCTGGTCAATTCCAGCCAATTTTGGAAGTCTTCCACAGAAGTCCAACTCTATAGTCTCTTGAGTGTCCCCATCTTTGAAAAAAGGAAACTCAAGCCATTGAAATTCCAAGCTTAGTACTCCCAACCCAAATCAAAAACCCATCACCAACGAGTAGGTTCTACCTCCTGGGAATCCCATATGTTGCAGAGTAAAACTGTTCCGTAGAGGTTTTTTGACTTGGTTGTCATCATTACAGGGAGTCCTTGGATAGCACAAATGGTTAAGCAGTTGGCTACTAACCTAAAAGTTGGTGGCTCGAACCTACCCAGAGGCAGCCCCGATAATCTGCTTCCAAAAGGCCACAGACTTGAAAACCCTGCAGAGAGTTCAACTCCGCACACAGGCGGTCAATCATGAGTTGGAATCAACTCAATGACAATCAGCAACGACCTCTACAGCAGTAGCTCACCAGGCCTTTCATCTGTGGAAGCTCTGAGTATGTTTGAACCACCAATCTTTAGGTGAGTAGCCAATGGCAAAACACTTGTGTTACCTAGGCTCACTCACACTTCAGGTTCTACAAAATAACACACACCTAGAGCCCCCAGACCCTGATGGTCAGTAACTTACAAGGAGGAAAGAGGAATCCATAGGACATCTGTTTATCATTTCTGTAGGCTAAACAGTTCTGACTGAAACTCGGAGAAACCCGGACATCAGGCCGCACACAGCTGGTCAGGTGCTCAGGGATGACAGAGACCTCAGCCTATGTGGGGAGACAAAGGCACTCAGTAATGGCAACTCTAAGACAACGAACACCAAGCCAACACGGAGACACTGATGCCACAGTGTTGTACGAGCAGCCGCCTAAATCAAAACTCCTCTAGTGTTTGCTGTTATTCAGATTCTGACTTCTTTTAAAAATGCCTCAGTTTTAAATACAGTAAGCCTGGAATTTTCAAACTCTTGCTTTTCAGAAGATTCTTTTTCATCAATGTCAAGTAAAATAACAGTATATAAAGCAGAAAGCTAACTGGTGATGGTGGTGTACCGTAGAGTCAGTTCCGACTCATAGCAACCCTTCATAGGGTTCCCGAGACTGTAAATCTTTACAGGAGCAGAAAGCCTCATCTTTCTCCCACGGAACTGCTGGTAGTTTTGAACTGCTGACCATGAGGTTAGCAGCCCAAATTGTAACCACTATGCTACCCAAGTTCCTTAGAAATCTAACTACAAATGATCAATTCCTGATATAAACCTACCTAGTTATCTTCGCCCAAACATAAACCCGTCACTAAAAATCAAACCAGCAAATTATGAGGGCTTCTTTTCCTATTGGACAATGACTTAAACAGAGTAGAAGAAACTAAAAAATGAGTAAGCCTCCTTCAGTATTTAACATATTACCATGGAGTTATCAGAACATAGTCTAATGTCTACTTCAGAATATTTTGCAACAGATCCAACATAAGGGTTTCTTTTATCAAGGAAAATGAACATTTTTTTCGAAGACAGAATTCTATCAGGCAAGGGACCATTGTATGACTCCAAGGAATGTAATGAAATGAAGACAATAAAACCCAACTTTCCCAATGACCTGTTTGGAAACAGTGTATGACGTCCAGAGTGGCATTAGGAAGATCTCACTATAACCGCTTTCAAAGTCAGTATGACACAAGATATCATATCTAGTCTGATAAAGCACTGCAGGCCGTCCATAGAGGAGATGTCGCTCTAGGAAAGAAAAGATGAATTGGATTAAACACATATTAAACTTCACAACAAATGCTAAGGCAGTGTTACGAGAGAGTCAAGCTGTCCATAATTTGCTTGCTTACTTATGAATAATGCAGCACCTTCTCTCTAATTTAATCCAGTTAGTTTTCCTAACCCTTTCTTGGTTTATCTGATCACCTGATCATGGGTCAAGGTTTGGAATGATCAAAACTGTAATATAATATGCCGTATTTCTACCAAACCTTTGTTTTGGTTGCAAAGAAGTTAAACTCTAGATAGGAACTATCGCAAAATTTGTAGTGGAGAGCCAATATGACTGACTTTTTTGCAGAATTAATTCATTTGACCCCTGAAGAGGCTTATCAAATTATCCAATGATTTAATTAAGAGGAAGGCTCTCTTTGGTCATTATTTGCAAATTGCAACTTAAATGTACATTATCTGAACATAAAAAGCGAGTAATGATGAGCATTTAAAGAAAGCAGCTTTGCTGTATGGAAGAAAACTCCTTCAGTAAGAATTTAAAGGAACATGTATAGATAAAATAAGTGGGCATTCAAGAGGGTTCTTGACATACACAAGAAGAAAGGCCATCAGTTAAGAACTCAGTTAAGACCCCAGAATGCAGATTTAGTCTCCCAAGGGATCATTCTCCTCTTAGGAAACAAAGGTCTGAGATCTTACTCCTTCAGGAAGAAGAGATGGGAATTTAGGATGCAAACTTTCATTTCACACTCAAAACAAATGCCTGGAGCTTGCTCCATCCATTTTGGATAAGCTAAAGTCAGAACTGCCAGAGATTCTTGGACACTGGGACCCTAAAGATGAAAATATTTAGAGACTGAGGCTTGGGCAATTCATAATTCCCTAAGTGATTATCAAAATACTAGTTTTTACTAATTTTTCTACTAGAGAAAGTCAATTCTTGCAATCACTTATTAAATTATGCATACATGTTGCTTTAATTAAAGTGTTACCATTCTCGGCATGGAACAGAGAAAACCTTTTGTAAAATACTTTGGAAGACCCTTCCAAGCAGAACTGATGATTTGAGGCAAAGCAGCCCATACTGTCATAACACGAGCCTGCTCTAGGTAGTTGGGCTTTTTAAGCACTGCAATAAAGGTAGAAGCCTTGGTTAAACTGCCAAATTTAGGGACCCACCCCTAAGATTTAGAATGTAATATGATTACATGACATAAATGAAATAGATGAACCAATGAAAAGCTGGCAAATCATAGCAGTAGTACTTGGGGGCAGCTAACCAACCCAGACTTTCCTTCAAAACTCAAACCAAACCTTTTCTAGGCTCAAAATTTCCATTAGCGTTTTCCTTGTTTTCATTTTTGCTGCCTCTGAATTTCTTGGTTTCAGCTGGAAGCAAAAGTACCAAAATCCTTTAAGAAACTATTCTTTTTAAGCCATTCAAGTTTTAATGCTTACCAAACACATTCCTCCAAAACTCAATGGCAAACCTAGCATTCAATCAACTCCAAACTAGAAGACTTCTTTCTCCATCCAAAACCCTCCTTAGACCAGTAACCAAACAATAGCTTTATACCACCTATGTGTATAAGTGCCATTGAGTCAGTTCTGACTCATAGTGACCCTGGATAGGGTTTTCAAGGAGCTACTGGTGGGTTTGAACCACCAACATTTTTGGTTAGTAATCCAGTGCTGATCTTACAGCACCACACCATTTGGTGAAGCCTAAAACCACCCATAGCTTGTAGTTGTTAAGTGTTGTTGTTGTTAAGTGCCCTCAAATTAATGCCAACTCATAGAGACCCTATACAGGGATTCTGGGGAGCAACTGATGAGTATGAACCACTGATCTTAACCACCTATGGTGGTGGTGGTGGTTATGTGCTGTGGAGTAACCACCAATTTTTTGTTGTTGTTGTTAGGTGCCATTGAGTCGGTAACAACTCATAGTGACCTTATGCACAGCAGAACGAAACACTGCTCAATCCTGGGCCAACCTCATTACTGTTGCCACGCTTGAGTCCATCAATGCTGCCACTTGGCCAATTCAGCTTGTTGGGGGTCTTCGTCTTTTTCTCTGACCCTCCACCTTAACAAACATGATATCCTTCTCCAGCGACTGGTCCCTCCTGACAATATGTCCAAAGTATGAGAGACAAAGTTTGGTCATCCTGGCCTCCAACAGCACTCTGGCTGTACTTCTTCCAAAATGGATCTGTTGGTTCTTTTGGCAGCCCATGGCACTTTCAATATTCTCCTCCCGCACCATAACTCAAATGCATCAATTCTTCTGCGGCCTTCTTTATTCACTGTCCAGTTTTCACCTATAAAATCCACCAAATCTGGCTCTTCCTTTAATCTTTCTCATTTCTTAGTATTCCTCAGCCTTACTTTATTCTAAGAAGTCTGGAGTTTGGGTCTTTTGGAGCTTTTGCGTGTGTGTGTTGTGGTTTGCTTTTTGCAACACTTTCTTCAATAAAATATTGGCAACCAGGAATAACCATTCCAACAATTCTAGCACCTATCTCTTTTCAAATGTACTCATTTCTGTAATGCCCCACTCATCAAATAGTGACTGAGTACCTTCTTTGTGCCAGACCTTGGTCTACAGAATGGCGACACTATTACCCTTGAAAAGGCCACTGTGTAAAAGAGACAAACATGACACGAATTACTAAAATGCAGTATGCATGTATCATATCAGAGACATCTATAAAGTGTCATTGGAACACGGAGGAGGACAAAAGGTGTTGACAGAGTTGAAGTGGCACCAGTACTGTCCTCACAGTATATATGAAGGTAAACCAGGGTGACTCTACATCCCAACTTATGCCTACTTTCTTGACATAATTGTTCACAGTGGCCACTTTCATCCTCAAGAGTGGATGGCAAATAATAAGGTCACAGTTCAGCTCACCTGGAAGAGACAGAAGACGGTGAGGGAAAGAAGAGGAAGAGACATTTTAAGACTCACTTTCTCCTGAAAGCGTTCCCCAATTAAGATTTTAATATATCTCTGCTCATTCTTCTACTTTGCATATGTATACATCACATTTTCCTCAGAATTTTGAGCTTTGTAGTTGTCAAGTTATTGTTACAACCGTAATATTGGCACACAGCTAGACCACAAGCATATCTGTTTCTCAAACATTACTGGGTATAAATGACAAAAAAAAAAAGAGAGAGAGAGAGAGAAATCTTTTTTAACAGCCTCCCACAATCTGACTTAGTTCCCTCACTGACCAGAAGAATCTACTTGGTTCTTCTTGAAGTATAATAGTTTGATCTAAGAAAGACCTGAAAGAAAGGATAACTTTTCCTGAAAAGTTTGGCTTTTTCACTTTATCAGAGCACCAAAGATACAGGTTCCAGAAAAAATCCACTCTGTTCATTGTGGCATCTTTAGCCAGCCACCCATTTGCATTTCTGCTGAGCAAAGAGTCCCTACTCAAGCCACATCAACCAAAAACCAAACCAAACCCACTTGCCTTGAGTCAATTCCGACTCACAGGATCCTGGAGAGAGATTCTGAGGCTATAAATCTCTATGGGAGCAGAAAGCCTCAACTTTCTCCCATGGGCTGACCAGTGGGTTTGAACTGCCAACCTTATGGTTAGCAGTTCAGTGATTATCTTACAGTGCCACCAAAGATCCTTCAAGTCACACCAGCATATGTAGATCCCAGACTTTGGACATGTGATCTCTTTTTCTCAAGACCACCAACCCTTAAGATCAGCCTGTGAGTCTCTGCATTTGAAACATGTTTCACATGATTTCTTGACAGGGATCCAGAATGTCTTCCTGGGCTGGTTTCTGACTCAATGGAATTCTAGACAGAGCCTTCATTCCACATCCCAGTTCTCTGTTTACATTAGTGTCTCTGGTATTTTTGGTACACATCAAGGTTCCCCTCCAGATACCACAGTTGGCAAAAAAACTACAAGGCAAATCTTTTTAAGTGGTGTGGACTTCTCCAGTACTTATTCTTTTAAAAAGTCTTCCAAAATTTAGTCATCCGGTGTTGAGTTTGTATTTCTTCTTCCTGATTCATATTCCCACAGATTAGTTGGCTGACTAAAGAGCCACATGAGACTCTCTCTATGTTTTAAGGTTTTTTTTTAATGTTCACTCCCACAATAATGCTCTTAAATTGTACCACAAAATCCCTACCCATGTTCTTTCCTTTTCCTGTATCCTTTCCCCAACGTTGCCTCACAAATGCTTATTACTTACTGTCATTCTAGCCTCCTCAGGGGTTGGATTAGATGCCTCTACATAGATGGTAGTCTTTCTTACCTCAACCCTTAAAATAATGTTATGATTCCCTAATAGAATCAATCCCCCAATAGAATAATGACTTGAGGTGCCAAGAAGTTTATCTGTCTTCACCATTGTGTCTTCCACAGTCTACAACAGCATATAGTAAGTATTCAGTAAATATTTGTTGAATAAGTAAATAATAGGTGTTTTAAAAATACAATTCTTTAGGACTCTCAAAAAAATGATTTTTTTTTTACATCTATCTACCTATGATAGCCCTGAGAGGTAGATTGGACAGAAATCAGTATCATCTCCATTTTTCTGATAAAATCTGCAGTTTGATGATTTGCACAAGATTATTCAGCTATATAGCACCACCTCCAACTTCCTGGTCCATTATTTCTCCCTTTTAGGCTTTGGTCAGCCTCAAGTTAGATGCTTACTTTTAGACAGAGTCCTGGTGTGGCACTATAGGACAAGCACTGAACTGCTAACCATGAGGTCAACTATTCAAATTCACCAGCAGCCCCTTGGAAATCATATATGAGGTCACTACAAATCAGAGATGACCAGACAGTACTTAACAACAGTGGAGAGTATATTGGGATGAAGATCCAATTCCTCCTGGATATGAACTCTACCCAAGTAACGCTTGCTGAGAAGCTAATGAGAACAGTGGTTTGTATCAGGCATCTAGTAGTTTAGAAACAACTTTCAAACCCTGGCACATACTGAGATTCTCTTCCTGTATG